GATGCCAGTCAATACAGAAAGAGGCATTTAAACCGATAGTTATAATCCCTCAATTAAAAAGGATTTCGTTGGGGTGCCTGGGTGGCTCAGTTGGGTTGTCTACCTTTGGTTCAGATCATGATTCCAGGATCCTGGGATTGAGCCCAGCATCAGTGTCCTTGTTCAGCAGGAAGCCTGCTTCTCCTTCTCCCTCTGCTCCTCCCCATGGTAGGGCACGCATGCTCTCTCTCTATCTCTCTCATAAATGAATGAAATATTTAAAATAAATAAATAAATAAATATGATTTCACTAAGTTGAAACAGTCTGCGAATTCCAGAAAAACCCACGCAGAACTGGAAAATATTGCAAACTTTTCAATTTAATCACCAAGGCTATGTTTCTATCTCTCCTCTGAAATCACAAAGAAACTAGGGTGCAGTTTGCTTAGAATCTGTGTTAAGGCCCCTTGCTCTAAGAGTTCTGTGAAGATGAGAACAACCTCATTATACTGTTATTTTTACATTTAAGCCATAAAACTCCCTTGGGACAGGACCCAGATTCAACCACATTATAGCAGTAGGAAGATAGAAGATTTTTCAAAAAAGTTTAGCACAGTAGGGCCGCCTAGGTGGCTCAGTGGGTTTAGCCTCTGCCTTCGGCTCAGGTCATGATCTCAGGGTCCTAGGATTGACCCCCGCATCTGGCTTTCTGCTCAGTGAGAGCCTGCTTCTCTCTCCGCCTGCCTCTCTGCCTACTTGTGATCTCTGTCAAATAAATAAAATCTTAAAAAAAAGTTTAACAAAGTAATAGCATTAGGAGACCTTTATTAAACACTTACTAAATCCAAGGTTCTATTATTACCATCCCCATTTTACAGATGAGGAAAATGGAATCCAGAGAGGTTAGCTAGCTTTCCCAAGGCTACCCTCAGAGTCAGTGGCAATGCTTGAGCATTCACTCCCTAGTGTACCACCTCTCCATGACTTGACATTGGCCCTCTTTCAACATCCTTGCCCGTCTGCAAACGCCATGTGTCATCTCCCACCTACCCTCCTCCCACCCTCCCCCACCTCCATTCTCCACCCATGACCTTCCAGCAGACTAGAAGTAAGCACAAACATCTCATGTTTCTCTCAATTTCGGTTCCCCAGCCTATGGACAATTACTTTGAAGTTCTGTAGCAATCACACTTATGTCCAATAACCTTTCTGCAATTGATCATGTCCTTGAAACTCACCAAAAATCATAAATATGCTGACAAGCTGTCTAAACACATCAATGTCTTTTGCTAAAAAACATAGGTAAGTTTGGTTTCTATCCTGGTGAGAACCCAGTCCCTTGACAGTGATTTGTGAGACACAAGACTTGAGTATTTGAGAATCTCTGGTCTATAGCAAAGAGTGACAGCCTGGTGTACTTCAAGACTCTAGACAGAATGAAGGCTGAAGTGCCGGAGCACTTGGGCTTCATAAAGGGCAAGATTCTTGAACTACATTCCATCTACTCCCCACCTTGGCTCCCTCCAGTGGTTGGAGATTATGAGTTCCAAAACCCAGTCACACCTCTCTCCCGCCTAAGAGCTCTACCAAAGCCCCATTGTGTGTTTGCTGCTATGATTATTCAAGCAGATGAAAGCATCAAACCAAGGCTAACACTCTTAGACTCACTCAAGACCCAAGAATGCGTTGTCAAGACTATTGTCCCTGAAGTTTCTTACTCAGCTATTTACACAGAAAATTTTCCTCTTCTATCCTTCACACATCATAACTCTGTCCTACTTATTTCAGCTACTCACTGATACTGCGCAAAACTGAGTGAGTAGGGCTGGCTGTGCAATGCCTCTCTTTCCAGGCTTAGTCAAAGGACACTTTCTTCCCATATCCTACTCTTTTCTTCTCCTCTTTTTCATCAGTTAGTCCCCATATTCCAATACTGTCTAATCTATAAAAGAACCAACTCAAGAATTTACCAAAACTGAAGAATGAGAAACTCAAAAAGTGTAGCTTATAGTTCATCTGTAAGGGAAGAGTACAGAGAAGATGTGAAAGGGAAAGAGCAATAAGGAGAAGCTCCTATATCCCAATACTCTGGTTCTTTTTCCCAGATAGCTCTAAGTGAAAAGTAGACATTCAACTGTTGAAGTAAAGGAATGCTTCCCTTCATCAGACAACATACCTTTCCTGAAGGGTTATATGTAATTTAAATCCTATTTATTTATTAGACATTTTCTAAGTTATGACTCTCTGGCAGACTCTGGGGGATAAAGAGATAAAAGTTAACATGGATTGCCCTTTGAGAGATCAGACCTGCACACAGATAACTAACTAGAATATAAGGTTGAAACTGGCAAAATTTAAATTCACATAAAGTATTTGGAAGCTGAGAAGAAGGAACCGAGATGGCAGGCACGGAGGGAACATAGAAACAGAGGCACAGAAGCTGGGACCTGATGTTAAGGTTGCAGGGGAGCATCTGGGTTAAAATAATCATACTTTTTCTTAAATGTAACTCTCTAAACTCTGCCACAGTGAAGCCCAGAGCTCCCTAGCTAGTAGAAATCTTGGGCTGTCATCCTTAGAGCTACAGAGAAAGTAAACCTGAAATTGCTATGAAGGAAAGAACAAACCATTATCCATGAAAAATTATTTTGATCCATTATATTTCAAGAGAACTTCAATTTCAACCCATTCTGGGAAATCAATGTGTTTAACTTTATCTAACAATAAAAATAATGCAAAGCACTAAAGTATAGCCTCCAAGATTCTAAAAGATAGGCTCACTCTTGCCTTCCTTCTTTCCTTCCTTCCTTTCCTTCTTTTTCTGTGCACGAAATCACTGACCCCAGGAAAACAGCCACACATGTCTAGAGGTCCTGAAAGCTTGAAATCTGGTACATGGGAAGAAACAGTGCTTGCTGCATGACTCGGTACCCAGGCTCCCTGGACCTGTCTCTGGGTCCCAGGAGTATATAGTCAGGCAGGGCTCGCAGCACTTCTGGGTGGACATGCCAGACTGCCAGGGTCATTCTTGCTCTTACACTGAGCTACTAACTGAGAAGTTCTTCCTTGCCTGAACATCTCCCCTGGAACTTCAATCTGCATTTTTGCCCCAAAATTGTTATTGAATGAGTAAATAAATTATTAAATGAAGTAACCATGCTTTGGTATTGATTAAAACACTGGAATTCACAAATTATTATGTAAAAATTAGAGTTGAATCAAGATTATCCCCATGTCCCTCTCAATTATTTCACTACACCTCCTTCACTAAAATATCTAAGGTTTGTAGGCTTCCTACAGAGTTACTCCTTTGCTCCTCACAAAAGTTGAGTAATAACTCAACCTTTGACTTGGGTTCTATAGATCTGTGAAACACTTTACTCGTCTACTTTTACTTATGCAGAGGAAAACCTTCATCGCACATTATATTAAAACTTAGAGAAACTAAAGATTACTCTAGTTACTCCAGTAATTCAAAAATTTTATAAAAATGACAAAATACACCACACCTAAGTAAGAGGCTTATGTTGAACTTTCAAGATTTTTAATTGAGTCTTTACTGGCTCATAAAATAAACACTTGCTATTAAACTTACCACATTAGATTCTACCTTATATGCTATATAAACTGACTTTTTAAAATCACATATTAAATGGGATTTCAATCATATTCATTGAAAAGAAAACCCACTGAAACTTGATACCAAGGATTTCAAATTTTTTTGCAGAATGGGTAGGTTACTTTTTACTGTTTCTTTAAAGAAAAGTTAATTTGTTAAACCATATGCAAACTCAGTTTTCTACAGTGGAAAAGATGGGTTCTCAGAAACATGGAATTGAATTTGGTCTGTGACCTTAATGGCTAAACAGATGATTTTTCAGAAAGAAAAAAAAAATCGAATAATGGATTCTGAAACTCTTTTATTTAACTTGTCTCTGGAGCAACACACACTCTGAGCTTTCTTTCAAGGGGAAGAGACTCTTTGTAATCACAGGTGTGATGCTGGTCCCCACACTTCCCCTCCAAGGACATGGACATGCTCACCAAGGTCCATCCTCTCAAAGCCACTCAATACATAGGGAGAGGGAGAGAGATCTCTGTGGAATGTCATCCCAGTACAATAGCATCTAAGAGCAGAGGGGACTATGCCAATGAGTCTCATTCTTCATTTTGGGGGCTGACCATTGTTTTCCATCGTCTCTGCAGCAGAGAAAGTGCTAAGCCTAGAAAGCCAGTTTCTGAACCTACTGGAGATACCACAGGAGTTTTTGCTACCTTCAAACCTGCTGGAACCTAAATCAATGCAAACATTCATGGCCAGTTATCCTAGGAAGTTTGAAGTTGTGATTAACCGCTGCTAATCTTCTTGCTCAGAGATGGCTGGTGAATCTTATTCCTGGGGAGTCTGAGAATGCCAGGCTCAGATGCCATTGCTTACATGCATAAAATGGCCTCATACAAGTAACCCAGACCTTCCCAAATGTTATTGCTTCCACAGAACACAACACCAAGGGATATTAGTAGATATGAAGGAAATATTAAAATGAAGTGTTCCTTGGTTGGGTACACTTGGAAAATGCTCAGTTAAATATAGTGAAGTAGATTTTTTTTTTACTACAGGACAGACATCTCAGGGCTTTTCACAAGTTTTAGGAGCACTGGGACTCTCCAAGATGACTTCACTGAGTCCTTGGTTTGCTTTACCTTCCATCCACAGGCACATTCAATGACAAGAAGTATTTTAGCTTACAAATGACAGAAAGGAAGCTTTGTAAACCTAACAATAAATATTTCATGAACTTTGGGATGCAAACCCCAGTCTAGGATTCCCTGAAAGATTAGGAAGGGTCCAGGGGAAAATGAATGTGGTAAGTACAGAGGTCATTTTTAACTGGTTCATTGGTTTCAGTCCAGGATGCTCCACAAAAAGCCCCCAACAAAGCCTGCCCAGATACATGGGACACAATTCTAGGGATAAAGGGCTCACACCTAACCTTTCTTTTAAAGAACAACTGAAAGCAGTGCTCGCTTGGGTAGCACATACAGTAAATTTGGAATGATACAGTAAGGACTGGCATGATCCCTGTGCATGGGTGACACCCAACTTCATGAAGCATTCCATAATTTTTATATGTTAAATATATTTCAGTAAACCTGGAATTTTAAAAAAAGGAAAACAGAAAAGACTTTCTTCTAAATGAAAAACAATTACAATGATCACATGAGACACAAATGTGTCTCACTCAGAATTATCTATGTAAGAAAATGTTCTCCTTCCTGCATAGTATGAGCCAAATTAGTATACCCTTAACACTTAACATCTAAATAACTCTGAAGCCAGAAACTTGGTAAAATCCATTCACCAGGTATAACCATCACAGTGGAATTTCTATATTAAAGAAATACTCCTGGTATGGAATGTCAAGGTTACACAAGGACAAATTTGTGTTTCTATTGAGATATTTTTATAAAATGAACAATTTGGCCTGAGAGACATATAATTTCCATGCAATCTTTGAAAATATATTTGTGGAACTGACCAGCTGCATTCCTGGGAAAATGTCCCTTCTGAAAGTAATGGTTGAGAAGGAGTATAAGGGTTCCATCTTAAGATTTATAAACAGATTTTTTATATCTGTTCACTTTTTCAGTACAAAAGTATCAAAGTTCCCAGAGAACTTAAATACCAAATTACACTTATTGCAATAAATGTATGTTACATTCTATTTTATACATTATAGTTCAAGGGAAATATGTAGGTTGAGTTTTCATTCATAAGAGAATATGATTATATACAAGCCTATATAAATATAAAATTAAATGCAAATAATCAACATTCAAATTCAGTTCTGTTGGCATTTGTTCTCCGAGTTTGCCTGTGTGCATGTGTATAAGCATCCTTGCATGCAGGCACACATACATATACACACATACCCCTCAATCCAAAATCCACAATTTCTTAAAACAAAAACATCTTTTCTTTTCTTCACTTCACTTTACAATTATCTCAGGATATGGGTAGAATGCTACATTTAAAATGACCAAGTAGAATATATATTTTTTCTTTTTTTTAAAGATCTAACTTCATATTTGACACAAAGAGAGCTTGAGAGAGCAGAAGCACGGGGAGTGCGAGAGGGACATGCAGGCTCCCTGTTGAGCAAGGAGACCAATGTGGGCCTTGATCCCAGGATGCTGAGACCACGACCTGAGCTGAAGGCAGAGGCTTAACCCACTGAGCCACCCAGGTGCCCCCCCATAATCTCTTAAAATAAAATATTATTTGAATTCAAATCTGTAGCTGGTGAAAATCAAGGACATCTATAAACAGATATTTTTATTTGTGCTATACAATTTCACATGCATTCAATTCACCAGTGTTAAGAATCGATTATAGAGGGGTGCCTGGGTGGCTCAGTGGGTTAAGCCTCTGCCTTCGGCTCAGGTCATTGTCTCAGGGTCCTGGGATGGAGCCCCGCATCGGGGTCTCTGCTCAGCAGGGAGCCTACTTCCTCCTCTCTCTCCCTGCCTGCCTCTCTGCCTACTTGTGATCTCTGTCAAATAAATAAATAAAATCTTAAAAAGAATCGATTATAGGGCTTGCTTCAGCACCACATACGCTAAACCTGGAACAATTACAGAGATTAGCACGGCCTCTGCACAAGGATGACATGCCCATCTGTGAAGTGTTCCATACGAAAACAAAAAAAGAACTGACTGTGATTACTTGATGCTGCATCTTGACCTGTGCTTCAAGCCTGACTGAGCATGCCTTGATTGTATGAATTTTTTATTAATTCTGGTGTTTACTATTATTTAAAATGCAACCCATTACTTAGATTTTCCCCACACTTATGACTCGCTGATCAGTTTCAAAGCACATAAGACTCTCACTTGCATCAGATTATAAGTGTTTAGGAAAATATAAAAGAAAAGTCTAAAAGATAAAAACTGTCTTGTTACCCAAGAATAAGAGATGAAGAAATTAATGAATGTTGTCTCTGGACAGTAGATAGTTTATCCAGATGACCTTCAAAGAAAAAAATGTTTCTAGATCAAAAATAGCCCTCTAGCAACACAAGGGAAGTCAATCATCATGTAACTGCACACTTAAAGATGAGAATCCTTTTCAACTACCAAGACTTTCGGTTAAAACTGACTTTTCCATACAGTGCTGTGATTCTTATAGTAATGCTTTGGGGTGAAGAAAGTAGGATTGCCCCTCACTCAAGAAGGTTCTTAAACTCCTTCTAGCTTCTTCATGAAGACAAATTTCCTTAGTCTCCTCCTAACTCCAGCCCCCTTCAATCCTGTTTCACCAAAGGGACTGAGCTTTCTCATGCTCTCTTATCCAGTGACTGTGATATGACCCCTAAAAATGACATTAATATATGCCTCTATACAAACTCTTCTTTATGTACAATTAAGAAAAATGTTTATGTGTAATCCTAGATAGAGAATTGCTGATGTTCATGAATTTCTCCTAACAGGTGCTATGGGCTTGCTTCATGTTAGACAGGGAGTATGCCCTCCTTCTCTAAGGGACACATGATCCTTATACCATCTGAGTGGTACCAATTCTGCACAACCAAAGAGCATGGTCCCAAAATAGAAATCTGTTTCTGATGTTTGGCAAACATACCCCCACAGCCTTTATGAGGCCTGAAGGAACTGGATATATGAGTTTGGATCCAAAAAGATATCATTTCTCTCAAGTTTTTTTTCAGAATTGTATAGAATGCTCTCCTCATATTCTTCCTCCATGAGTTCCAAGGAGTTCACTGTCTACCACTGTCTCGGGGCACTTGCCACTTTCTAGAGTGCCTGATCACTATTCCAGCCCTTGCTGGTCCCCTGTGTCCACTGGACTATGAGCACAAGGCCGGAATCCAATCTCATTCCTCCCTATCCATAGCACCTGGCACAGAACGGAAGCACAAGAAGCATGCAGTGAATGGATCATAAGCCACACCACTATTCACATCTTCTGAATGCCAGGAAGTACTTGCCATTACCCAAACACACATTCTTCATTACCTCCCATCGCCCTTTATTCAATGATAGTCTCCTGGCCTGGAATGCCCTTCCCATGTCTTCACTGACTGAAAACACATCTATCCTTCAAAGACACATACCCCAGAGCACTTTCTCCAGGAGTGCTTTTCTGATCCTCTCTCCGAGACCCCTGATGGCACTTGCCCTTGTTGGCACTGTATCAAAGTCATGTGTGGCCAGTCTCTCCCCTCTGTGGGAAACAGGGTTAGTTTCTCTCAACAACTCATGATTGTCTGAACGTAACTCATAAAACTGTGAGAAATAAAAAAATATTTAGTTGGGTGAGGACTGACAAGAGCTTGCTCTTCTCACCAGAGACACTAGGGTTCAGGAAAGAATGACTGAGGATATATAGAAAAGTATGTAGGGAAAATGACTTCATATGTGGAGCCCTCCCCTTACATAAAGGTATATTTTAAGGGAACCATTGAAAGAGGTCTTAGTGAATCATTTAATTAAGAATCTGATGGGTACAGTTTCTCACTCTTCAGTTCAGTTTAAAATTTTAAGAGCCAATTGGTGAAACAAACCAAAGAAAATGATACTGAAACTGTTCATAGCAGAACTTCCTAAACAGGAAGATTAACATACATAAAGTCACAGAAATACTGAAGATGAGTCAAGAACCTGAAAGTATTACAGATTATATTGGAATATTTTAGGCCACTCTTGTCCATATTTAGTAAGGCTCATACTTCTTGACTACTATAGGAAGCTACCAAGGAAGCAAGGATTCTGTTTTCAGGAATCTGAGTCCTACATTTCTGGTTTCTGGGCAGATCAGGGTGTCTACAGTGATTTCCAGTGCTTCCATTTATTTGCTCAGTTGTTCGGGTCCCAGATAGTTATCTACTATGGGGAAGGCTATATGCCAGCTAGTTGTACTGCTTCTGCTGCTGTTGTTCCCATCAGCCATTAAAACTAAAAGAACTACAGAGAAATAATTATTATTTCAAAGAAGAGCTACATTTTGTCAAAGGAATTCTCTAGAAATTAAGTAGTGGGAATGTTGAAGAACCCAAGTATCAAACAGGAAAATCAACGTGGTCAGACAGGCAGGGTTTTTTACCTGAAGACATTAACATTTTTATTTGATTTGTAAGATAGCTGGACACTACTGCAAATTTCTGAGAAAGGGACTACTAAGATCAAACCAGCTCTAAGAGAGATGATGCAAGGAACTCAAGCAGATGGACTGAGGAAAGGCTTGAGTTTAGAAGGTAGTTGTGACAAAAAGAAGAGAGGAAAGTTGCAAGAGAGGGTGGACTGATAGAAGAAGGGATAAAGGGTAAGGTAAGAGGCAGATGTGGTACTATCAATCATAATGGGCCTCTGGGCAACATGCGCTGAAGTGGTTGAAAGTCGTAAGGCCAGAGATGTTTTTTACTAAAGGGAAACTGGGTTATGGAAGAGTTTGGAGAGACAATTCACCCATTTTAGGTTCTCTTGCATGCTCAGACGTCAAAGAAAATGCCAGAAAACCCATCTTTACTTGACATGAATGATCACTTTGTCCACACAGACGTAAGAGATATTTGGACGGGTGACTTGTAGACCTCCTCCATCTTGGGAGAGTCCACAATTCTACAAGACACGTACACAGAGAATATTTGAAATTTAATCGTTGGAGGGCCCTAGGGAGTTATTTGAAGAGAAGATAAAACCTTGGAAATATTCAATTAGGATGGAGGGAGTAAGCAGCGCTTCGCCACTCCAGACAAAAGCAAGGAAGGCCAAAATCAGGAAGGATATGAAGAGAACTAGAAACAAGAGATACAGATGTAATATATTTTGCATAATGTCAAAGGTCGATAATTACAGCACTCCCAAACTCTATGCCATTTTAATCTGTTCCATTTGAGGAGTGATTAGTTCTTTGTTGATAATATCTTAATTGCAAGAAGTTTTTGCCAGCGTTCAATTTTTTAGCAATGGCATTTACAAAAACATTTCAATCGGCTTTTCTTCCCAGGAGCACCTAACCTGGGCGATCTCTCTCCCAGCCCTGCACAAAGCCTATCTGCCCAGAAAGGCTTAACTGGCCTCTGTCTCAGGGGGAGCCTTTCAACAAAG